CCTGACAACTGAAGGTGCAGCAGGTACTCTATTCAGGGCAGCTTGGAAGCCAGCATCGGTTGAATTCTGCAGGTCAATGAACACATCGAAAACCACTTCCATTTTGCCAAATAGGCCATTCTAGTAGAGGGCTTTCTACAGTTGAGTAGGACCTATTGAACTGCCACTGAACACCACTCTTCCTCCTCATTTAGTCACAAAGCAGCCATCCCGTGAGATGCAGGGTGCTGAGTGCGGCATGCAAGGTGCGACCGTGAATCTTTGAGAGTACATTGGAATGGAGGGGAAGGGGAATGGGAGGCTGAACTGACCGTGCGAGGAGGTCAGGTAACTAGCACTGCCTCGGCCACATTGGGACAATGAGAATGAGCTTGACCTGATCTGTCTTCAGCTTGAGGATGACCTGTGGGATGACTAAGATCGGGGGAAAGCGTACAGGAGAGTTGACTGCCCAATGAGATGGAAAGCATCAGACAGGGACCCTGGACTGAAGCCCCCTCAAGAGTGGAACAGATGCCATTTCCTGTTGTCCCTCGTGGCAAACAGGTCAATCATCGGAATGCCCCAAGCCACAAAGATGACCCAGAGGACACTCGAGGTTCATGGAAAAATTCCTGCTGAGACGGGAGATGATTCTGGATCCCGGGCAAGTGGTCAGCTATTGGAGCGATACTCTCCTCAATGCAGAATTGCCACAACTTGACTGCCTCTTGGCAGAGCTCTCTGGAGTGTGCTTCCCCCTTGCATGGTCATGTAATACACTGAGGTGGTAATGTAGATAAGTATGTGAACCACTGAGCCCCTCATATAGTCCAGAAAAGAATGACATGAATTATAGATGGCCTGAAACTCCAGCACATTGATATTCAGTGAGGACTCCTGCTCTGGCCACAGAGCTTGACCTTTCAATGACCCCAGATGTGTTCCCCAGGGAGAGAGGTATTGATGACAACAGAACTGGCTGGTAAGGGCCAGACAAAGGGAATGCCAGACAAACATTCTTTGGAAGCATCCACCACTGCAAGGTTTCCAGGACCAGTGGAACGAGACAGACCAATCTGTCCAAGGAGTTAAGTCAGACAATAAACTGTCCCGAGCCACGTTTGAAGGGGTAAAGAGACAAACTTGCAAACTGGACCACCTGGGTGCAAGTGGACGTGGCTAAAGAGCCTCAGGTACATCTGACCTATTGTGGAAGACTGAGGCAGACTGAGGCAAAGGTGACAAATCGCCTGAAAACAGTGAACAAAAATGCTCTTGAACTCGTAGAGTCTATTAGCACCCCAATGAACTCGATTATTTTGAGTGGGTACCAAAGATGATTTTCTGGTGTTTAAGATCAGATCCAACTGGTCAAGCAAGTTCAGCGTACTGTCAGTATGAGAGAGAACTTCCCCTTCCCCTCAGTAGCGAGTCATCCAGGTATGAGAAGATGTGGATTCCTTCCTTTCTGAGGTATGCTGTCACCATGACCATGCATTTGGTAAAAACCCAGGGGCAGAAGAGAGACTGAAGGGAAGCACAATATTCTGAAAGTGGCACTCTGCTATGACAAACCGAAAGAATTTTCTGTGGCTTGACAAAATTGCCATGTGAAAGTGGGCATCCTGAAGGTCCTGAGCAGCAAACCAGTCGTCCTGAGACAACATGGGGAAGACAGGCAATAGAATGACCATGCAGAAATTCATATATCTGATATATTTGTTTAGGCCATGGAGATTGAGAATGGGTCTTACCCCTTCCTTGGCTTTGGGCAGCAGAAAGTACCGGGAATAGAAGCCCTGACCCCACTGTACCAGTGGAACCGCCTCCACCATTCCCAAAGCCAGTAGAGAGTGGACCTGCTCGAGGAGCAGTATTTTGTGAGAGAGGTCCCTGAAGAGGTACAGGGAGGAATGGACGGGAACTGGATGGGATAGCCCTATTTGACAATGCTTAGGACCCAATTGTCGGCAGTGATTGAGCCCCAAGCATTGTAAAAGTGAGTCAGCTTGTCCCCAAATGGAAGGGATGGGGAGAATGGAGTGATGACTGGAACACTGCTTCGGACCAAGGAGTCAAACTAGGTACTTGAGGAGTGCCAGGGAAGGGGTGTCAACTGGCCAGACCCTGGACCCAAATGCCGCCTCCTCCTCCTCTGGGACCTATGCCCCTTTCTGGGGTAGTCCCACTGTCTTGTGGGAGAGAGAAGCTGCCCAAAATGTGCACTGCAGATGATACTACTGCTGCTGCTGTTGACCACTGTAGTGGCACCTCTGCACTGCCGACATATGCACCCCCAAGGACTGTAGGATAGCCCTACAGTCCTTGAAGGAGTGAAAAGTCTCATTCATCTTGTCTGAGAAAAGGAATCGGCTGTCAAAAGGCAAATCCTGCATGGCCTGTTGTACATTGGGAGCAATGCCTGAATTCTGCAGCCAGGAAGCCCTTCTTGTGGTCACCGCCAAGGCCAAGACTCTGGCTGGCTGAGGAATCCACAATGTCCAGCACACACTGCAACAAATTCTTAGCTACCAAGCAGCCTTCGATAACAAATGCCCAAAATTCCTCCCTTGAGGCTTTGGGCAGCTGGTCCACAAACTTAGAGCTGTCCAGTTCATGAAGTTGTATTTGGACAACAACGCCTGCTGGTTAGCAATGCCCATCTGTTAGGAAGGGAAGAGGAGGTGTAAATCTTCCTACCCTTTAAGTCCATCCATTTAAAGTCCTTATCCTTGGGAGTAGACTTAACTCTGCCCTACTGGGCTATATCGCTGACTACAGTTACGACCAGGGAGTTTGGGGCTGGATGCGAGTAACAACCCTCAAATCCCTGCACCAACACAAAGTGGCATTTCTCCATGTGCTTCACAGTAGGTGGTACCGAAGCCAGCATGCTTCAGAGAACCTTAGCAGGCTCAAGGAGAGCATGATTAATAAGAAGGGCCACTCCCAAGGCAAATGGCTGCCGGATATCCAACAACTTATGGATATTCTCTTGCAGGAACTCCACTTGAATACCCAGGGAAGCAGTCACGTGTCACAAAAGTCCTGGTATGCCTTGAAATCCTCTGGTACTGAGGAAGAGCCAGGCACTGCAGAATTGTCCGGGGACAAAGTCTAAGAAGTTAACTGTTCCAGAACTGGGTCCTTTTCCAGGACTAATGGAATGACTGTGAAGGCTCCATGAGGGGAAGGTTCACAGTGCCTGGGCCTGCGGCGAATCAACAGTCACTGCCACGGGCCTGCTCGGTGGGCTTAGAATGACTTGAGGGAGTGGGACCTCTGCAACAGAGGGGGGTCCCATGACAAGTGTCAATTCTGGTACCCCTTGTGCTCTAGGAGCAGCCCCCGATGTGGGTCAGGCAATGGAGAACAGGAGGAAGATCCCTACCTGGATGTCGAGGAGTCCTGGGTTTCAGGGGATAAAGATGGAGGCAGCCCTGAGGGTGCAAGCAACTGGTCTGATTCATCTGGAGCCCAAAATGAAGACGGAACTGGCACCAATGGTGGAAATGGTACCGCGAACTGAGTATGCCTCTGCTGTTTCCGGTGGTGCAAGTAGTGTTGAACCCCCAAAGTGGGCAGCACATTAACATTGGCAGCATCAACAGTAGGGGTGCTGAAGAGGTTCCTGGTGCTGAGGAAGGACTTTGGCCCAGCTCAGCCCTGCTTTCACTGAATGTGGAAGGGAAACATCAGGATTTGGTGCTGATGGCCCCACAGGTTCAGGGGCTTGCCCAGCCAATGGAGCTATAAACGTTGCAGCCCTGGACCAAGGGAGATTGGGACAGAAAGGCAGAGAAGGTCCGTTGCTGCCTGATATGCCACAAGCACAAAAGCAGCTGGTGCCAGTATTGCGCTCATCAATACTAGACTCAATGGATGCCCCAGGCCCAGAACCAGAGTCAATGGTATGGAGTCTGACTTCCCAGCATGGTAGTGTTTGAGGGACCTACTCTTGTGCACCGGCATTCACACCATGCCAGTCTGTGATCTTTCTGGAGGAGGCAGACAAGTCCCCATGTGACTTGGAGTGGCCATGATCAGTCTTATGTGACCTTTTCCTTGCCACACTCGATGGGCAGCAACTTCTCAATCTCTTCAGAGAAGTACCAGTTGGAGGATGCGAAGTGGCAGCACCCTCAGAACTTGAGGGTGACCTCCAGTCCAGCGTAGGCCTTGGTGCTGAAGCAGGCTGCATGGCCTGTTCAAGCGGGTGCTGCTTTAGACGAAGATCTCTTGCAACCTGAGACCATTTCATGAATGATTTGCAAATTGAACACTGCTCCTTGAAGTGGGCTTTGCCTAAGCACAGCAAGCACTGAGTGTGGGAAATGCTCCCCCAACACAACGGTGAAGGCATCACCAGGGAAGTAAACAAAATCTAACTAACACTATACTAAGGGTACTAATTAACTATATATAACTGGGAAAAGTCACTAAGAAATAAAGAGGTTGCAAGAACACAAACCATACAGAGCTCCGACTCCAGCCACTGGTGGTAAGACTGAAGTGAGGGGGGTCAGGGCAGCACCGCCTCATATAGCCAGGGGATATGGCAATGAGACGCGAGAGCCGCCCCTCTATGGGTATTATGAGGCAAAAGTCCCTGGCTCCGGTGCATTGGGCGCGCACACACCTAAGTGGAATACATGGTTGAATCTACTTGAAGAACTCTGAATTGAGTTCAAAATTGCATTGGCTTTTTGTTTATATGGATGTGGCTGACATGCAGTATAAATTAGACCGCATGAGACATGATTTTGCAATATCATCTAGTTCTCTTTCAGTGTTGTTTCACAGGTTTCTCCCTCAACAAACATATTTGTTCTGATTATTGGTTCCCCCCCCCCCCCATATGTACCATAGGTACTTTTTTGAAAATTTAACCCAAGTTACTTAAAAGCTTAAGTAGTCTTTTTTTATAATAAGTGATTTAGGCACTTTTGAAAATCTTGCCCTTCAGCTCCTAAGTAATGCCAGAAAAAGGGTGGCTTTATTAAAAAAGCAACAGCTAAGAACATTTACCATTTATTAAACCAAACTGTTATTTTTAACAGTTACATAAGTTACACAGCATGTTCAAGTCAGAAGATTTCACACAGAAAAAATTTAAACTTTTGTATGCAGGCAAAATAGTACCACACGATATGTACCTGGGAGGGAGGGGGAAACCTCTAAACATTCAAATAAGGCCATAATTATTTAAAAAACAACAATAAAACAATAAAAGCCCCCAAAGATCCTTTTTTCCTTTCATTGTGTTCAGTGCTGCTAACTATATGTACCTTCTTAGTGTACAGATGTATATTTTGATAGCTAGGTTTTTAAAAACATTTATCAAAAATGGAATAAGGCTCATTAGTACATACAGCTGCCCTCGGAATTTCAATCTCAGTTACCTTCATTAACTTAAAATTCACAAAGTGCACAGTTAAGATATGCCAAAATAGTGAAACTGCTACTCTACCAACAGCTGCCCATGCTTAATACTTAGTGGTCTATTGGAACAAAATATGTTCTTTCAAGAAAAGAAAAGAAAAGCCACTGTAAAACATTTAGTTTCAAAGATGTGCTGCTAGTTTTCTTGTAAACGGAAAAGTAGAAAAACATGGATTAATGATGTGTAGTGTAAAGAAAAAAAAATACAAAAACTACTAGAAATGACCATCAAATGTTTTCAAAGAACAATCACCACAATGGACATTAGCATTCAGTGTACATCAATGTATCTATTTTACTCCAACCAATCCACTTCATCAAACTCTGAATCATCTTCTGAATCACTGTATTCCACAGCAATGCGGCGAGACAATATAGTGGCAACATCATTCTCAATGCGCTCATGTTTAGCTTCTTGTTCACGCTGCTCTTCGACTTTGCGTAGCTGAATACCTAAATCACAAACATCATAATAATCATTCTTTGTTCTTATGCATAATAATACTCTGTCCTCCCACTCTGCTGGCTCCCACCTCCGGCACCTTTGGCTGCCCTCCCTGGCAGCCAGGGATGGGCAGGGAGCAGGCCTGAGCCACTCCGGGTCATTGCTCCTTCCCTGGGGGAGAGCTGGCTGGGGAGGGGCGGCAGCGGCTTCCATGGACAGGGGCCAACTCCGAGCATGCCAGGGAGCGGGGGGGGGGCTCCGGCTCACTCAGCCGCGGTCCTGGGAAGCCCAGCCTGGGCAGGGGGCAGCCTGCCGTTGCTACAGCCAGGCGCTCTCCCAGACAGTTGCTGTGTTGCACTGGGCAATGTCCCAGCACAGCCGGAAGTAGCTCTGGCCCCAGCCCTTCTGCTTCCCACCTGGTTGGCTGCTGGGGCAGGGGGGGAAAGAGGGCACTTGACCCTGCGTGCCCCCCTTGAAGCATCGCCTCTGTCTGTTGTGCAGTGCAGTCGAGGCAGCAGTGCCATGGGAGGCCTTTCAAACCCTGATGTCCAAGGTAGCATGTGGCCATGGACCCTTTAAAAGTAACTTCCTACCCATTAGAATTCTTGGCACACATGTCCAGTTTTCCTCATGCCACTGAGTCCTTACAATCAACAGAATTTTTGCATGCAAAATAGCTAGAGAAAGGGTGGTGATTGGTAGAGTTCTTCTAATGTCACAAAATCTCATTTAAGTCACCTGAACCGGTGAGCAGATGCGGACCGTAACTTATATAATTATAATAATCATTAATAACTTCACTTAATTACAACCTAATTGTTTCCAATTATATACTATATGCACAATATATTTCAATGAATTTTAACTAAAGAAATTTGAAGAGTTTGCAAGTCTATTGTTAAAATCATTTGGGACAAGAAAAGACTGACAAATGTTATATGTCGTACACAACTCATTTGAAATTTGATTTTAATGCAAACTCATTAACTGATTAATTTCAGAAAATTCATTCTATACTCAAAGAGTAAATGTTAGTATGGGGAGGCTGAATCCCTGCTTTAAGCGCAAAATGGAACTCATCCTTAACGATGGAGTGCCAACCCATGCCTCCACAATATTAAACAATAAAGATTCCAATAGGGAGCCTTTGAGCACTCAGTCAGTCTTCAACAGGGCGAAAGTTTACAAATCTATTTTTACTCCATTTCCTGTCTCCTAGCCAGGTTTTAATCTGTGACTCTACTCTACTTTTCACCCCCAGGGTTACTTATTTCCTTAATAGTGTCTTCTGTAGGATTTTGTCAAAAGCTTTTAGAAACTCATATGAATTATGCCAGTGGGCTCTCCTTATATGCCTTTTTTTGCTGACATGCTCAAATAATTCTAACAGAACAGAGAGGAGGAATGATTTCCTTTTAAAGAATTCATGCTAGTTATTAGATGTAGGTGTTTTATACCTGTGTTTTTAGTTGTCACTTCAATCCATTTACTGGTACTAAAGCAAAGCTAACTAGTCTGATTCCTAGGATCATCCCTACCAGTTTTTGAACAGATATATTTATCCATTTACCACCATCCAGTTCTCTGGTATAGTGGCTTACTTCACAGAAAGATTGCATTTGTTTTAAAGCACTTCAATTACTTCATTCTGAAGTTCCTTCAGAACCCTTTGATTTATACTGTTCAGGGTCCTGTTGGTTGAGTAAAGTGAGGTATAAAGAGGTTAAGACAAGTGACTTTGCCTAGGTAACATGATTTGCAGCAGGGAATATAACCCAGGAGTCTCTCCTCTCTCACTTCTCTGCTCTAATCACTAGAAAACACTTGCTTAGGCTACGTCCTCACTACGGGGAGGGGGTGTCAATTTAAGATACGCAAATTCAGCTACGCGAATAGCGTAGCTGAATTAGACGTATCGCAGCCGACTTACCCCACTGTAAGGACGGTGGCAAAATCGACCTCCGCGGCTTCCCGTCGACGGCGCTTACTCCCACCTCCGCTGGTGGAGTAAGAGCGTCGATTTGGGGATCGATTGTCGCGTCCCGACAGGACGCGATAATTCGATCCCTGAGAGGTCGATTTCTACCCGCCGATTCAGGCGGGTAGTGTAGACCTAGCCTTATTGTAAACCATGTTATATCTCTAAGTACAAATTCTGCTCTGTATGTTGAAGAGGATGCAGGGAAGCCTCTCCCAGTGTACCTAAAAACACTGGAGAAGGATTCCAACTAGTGTTCAGGGCAGGGGTGAAAGTAACTTAGGATGCTTACCAGTACAGGGCCGGGGCGGCATCTTGGGTGGAAGTGGTGGGGCTGGGGTGGGGGGGTCAGCATCCCCCAGCCACCCTTCCAGACTGCCTGGCCTGTGCTGCCCAGGGCTCCCATGTTGATTTAAAGGGCCTGGGGCTCCAGATGCTGCCGCTGTTGTAGCGGCGTCCGGAGCCCGGGGCCCTTTTAAATCGCCGGGAGCCAGGGCAGCTGCTCCCTTCCCCTCCCCCCCTCGCCCGTCGGTGGGGGGGGGGAGGAAGGCAAAAGGGGCAGGAACGTTAAATGTCCCTGCCCCTTTTACCTCCCCTGTTGGCGGCCCTGGCAGTAGGAACCCTACCAGCAGGGCCGCTGACAGAGGGAAGGGGCAGCGACATTAAAGCGCTGCCGCAGCAAAGGAGCATCTTTTAACGTTGCTGCCCCCCCCCCTCCATCGTTGGCCCTGCTGGTACGGACCGCCAACAGGGGAGGCAAAAGGGGTAGGGACATTAAAGCAGAGCCGTGGCAGTGCTTTAACGTGGGCTGGGTATGAGCCGGTGCGGGTTCTTACCGGTACACAGTACCGGCCCGCTTTCACCCCTGGTTCAGGGCAGTACTAGAAGAGACCCTATAACCATGCACCAGTATCCCACAGTCCTAAGGGTTCATAGTTAGACCACCAGTGCACATGTTGTGATATGAAGCATGTGCAAGATAGGAGAGCATCAGTAAGGTGCTGCCCCAGAAGGTTCCCCCATCCCTTGTGCTTCTCCTGCCTTATACTGGCAAGAGGGTTCTGGGACCCACTGTTCCACTAGACAGCTCAGGGTTACAAAACAAAACCCTTACTGATTTAATCTTTAAAAAAAAAATGTTGAATATTGTCCTTACATTGTTATTGCACTGCAGTAATGTGCGTGAGAGATGCTTACATAAAAACAGGATCAAATGCCAATCTGTCTGCTCTGCTCTTAGTGAACAGCTTTTGTGAAAGATATTCTTGACAACATTTTTGCTTTCCACACAATTTGGAACAAATGTATCAAGAGACACTCTTCAGATAATTAGAAATTAAAAGATAATCTCCATCGATCATTTAGAAACATGTACATTTCCTTAGCTAACTTTTATGGAGAACTGGTTTTTGCATTCTAAACTACACTCCTGATAGGTGCAATTATGAGTTGAACAAAATTTGTCTACTTGGCAAGCTGCATATTGTACAGAATACAAAGCAGCACCAGATTTAAGATACTCTTGTCAAATCTTTTTTCCAGAGGTGTAAATTATTCCATCTGTTAAAAGTACATTTGTTTTATTAAATTGTTGAGACCAACTTCTGTTGTTCTTTTAGTGGCCGAAGTTACCTTTTCGTATTGCTTCCAGTAGAACGCTTCTGGCATCGCTGATTACAGGTAGAGTTGATGGGTGGCGTTTGGGTTCAGGAGCAGGAATCACTTGGGATGGTGGAGATGGAGGCATCAGTGGAGCATGAGGGCCAGGAACAATGGTTGTGGGAGGGTGAGAGAGGGTGGCAACTGAGACAGGAGATGAGGGTCGAATGCCAGGGGGAGGCAATGGAGGAGGTGGGGGAGGAGGAGGAAGTCCTTGCACTTCAGCTTGTGGAACTGGCTGAACTGGTACAGTTTCACATACTTGGGCAGCTCTAGTGACTGGAGGAGAGGGCTGTGCTAGAGGTGGTGCAATTGGAGGAGGAGCTGGATGAAGAACTCCAGGAGCAATCTGGAGAGGAGCTGGTGGAGGTGGCACTGCTGGTGCTTGCAAAACAGCTGCTGGAGGTGGTGGTGGTGGAGGTATGGGTGGGGGAGGGGTGGAAGTCATTGCGGCTCTCAGTGAAGAAGTTGACAAAGCAGATGGAAGAGGAGGAGGAGGAGGAGGGGGTGTGGGGCTCACAAACACTGGTGTCCTGCCTGTTGCTGGTGACTGAGGACGATTTTCTATCAAACCTGTGGTGGAGCTGAAATACACAATAGTAGGGCAAGTTATTAAAACCACAAAGTGGAAAAACTGGCTAATATAATTATATTTACTTTTTTTTTGTTGCTTGTTAATATTTAAGATCAGTAATTAGGATTATAAATAAAGCTAAATGTACTGATGTGACAACTGCATGGCTACTGTAGATCCCCATGAAGTCAAATTTACCCAATCTAAAGGCACAGTCTAGTTTTTTATTGTTTGGGTAGAACATACATCAGCCTTTTTCTTGCTAGCCTATACGTGTACTCAGGCAAATACCCGAGTTTTTCTCTTATTTAAGATTTCCTACAGTAAGTAAGATTTTCCCTACACATAGTAGTAAATCCAGAGATTTATTCGAAATATGAGGACAAGCTCGTAGAATGTGGCAGTCTTGATTTTACTGCAGATTTGACAAAATGCAAAGAAGGTACCAATGTGAGATTCATAGATTCTAGGACTGGAAGGGACTTCAAGAGGTCATCGAGTCCAGTCCCCTGCCCGCATGGCAGGACCAAATACTGTCTAGACCATCCCTGATAGACATTTATCTAACCTACTCTTAAATATCTCCAGAGATGGAGATTCCACAGCCTCCCTAGGCAATTTATTCCAGTGTTTAACCACCCTGACAGTTAGGAACTTTTTCCTAATGTCCAACCTAGACCTCCCTTGCTGCAGTTTAAGCCCATTGCTTCTTGTTCTATCCTCAGAGGCTAAGGTGAACAAGTTTTCTCCCTCCTCCTTATGACACCCTTTTAGATACCTGAAAACTGCTATCATGTCCCCTCTCAGTCTTCTATTTTCCAAACTAAACAAACCCAATTCTTTCAGCCTTCCTTCATAGGTCATGTTCTCAAGACCTTTAATCATTCTTGTTGCTCTTCTCTGGACCCTTTCCAATTTCTCCACATCTTTCTTGAAATGCGGTGCCCAGAACTGGACACAATACTCCAGCTGAGGCCTAACCAGAGCAGAGTAGAGCGGAAGAATGACTTCTTGTGTCTTGCTCACAACACACCTGTTAATACATCCCAGAATCATGTTTGCTTTTTTTGCAACAGCATCACACTGTTGACTCATATTTAGCTTGTGGTCCACTATAACCCCTAGATCCCTTTCTGCCATACTCCTTCCTAGACAGTCTTTAGAGATTTCTAAAGATAGCTACAGCACTCGACCCAAGATTTAAGAACCTGAAGTGCCTTCCAAAATCTGAGTGAGACAAGGTGTGGAACGTGCAGAAACTACAGAACCAGAACCACCTTCTGTTGGTGGTATCTGACTCAGATGATGAAACTGAACATGTGTCATCAGCATGTTTATCATTTTTACAGTGCAAATATTTGTAATAAAAATAATATAAAATAAGCACGGTACACTTTGTATTCTGTGTTATAATTGAAATCAATATATTTAAAAATGTAGAAAACATCCAAAAATATTTAAATAAATGTATTAATAGTACAACTAAAACTGTGATTTATTGCAGTTATTTTTTAAATCTCACAATTAATCACCAATTTTTTTTAATTGTTTGAAAGCCCTATTCTAAAGGAACTATTTTTACGGAATGATTAACTAATAAAATGACTTTGAAACTGAGATATGGGTTTAAGTTCATTGACAGGTCCAGTGGTACCGTACAAGATCAGTCATGCATAGCTACAGAGGCGTATATCTACACATAAGACACTCCTGTCTAGTTAGTGACCTTTTCCGTCCTCAAAGAGACAAGAGATGACTGTAAATGTTAAAGTATAAGCTGTTAGAGGAATTTCTCAATCAGAATACTCAGGTAGGAAAATGTAACACTCATAACAAATGTTAACCCAATAAAAGAGGTATATTTCTGTGCATGTTCCTTGGATAGTGAAATACTTTCATTTGGACAGAGATGAAACTATTTTGCTGACGTAACAACATAATCTAGATCTACTCTTGTATATTCCAGATAAAGATAAGGGGAACCCTATAAAAATCTAATCCATAAAGTATGACTTTGCTTGGATATGAAGTTACGTGGAAAAATACTGTCAGGATGATTTGTTTAGATTGTATCCCAATATTCCATCCAGTATTAGAAAGGCATAAAGAATCAAAAAAATAAACTAAGAGAAATGTCTATAATTTAATCTATTTTGTAGACTGTCTGCCAATGGTTTTCAAACTTATTTGATCGCAGCCCCGCTCTTTGTGTCTGTAGTTTACACCTCCCCACCACACAAGTACATATGCTGATTAAAAAAAAAATCAACGTGCAACTCTGACTAAATACTAAAACCAGTAAGCCATTGATTCAAACAGAGCCAATGATCCACTGTTATAAGAGCAAAAGCAAAACACGACTGTGGTCGAAACTTACAATTAAATGTGCAGACTGCGTTGTAGCAAATGGAATAACATACAGATAGTAATGAACGACTTTGTACAATGCTATGCAAGCTTAACAGAAATCTGTCAAAATGCACAGTGCCATCTGAGAACCTGATACGTCTGGAGGAATCAGATTTGCTAGTTATTTGTTGCTGTGGGTAAAATACGCGCAGTACGTTTTTCCCCTCCTAAAGCTTCTCATGCCCCCTAGAATACATTGCCCACACCCCGCTCAGGCCAGCCCTCAACCCAGTCTGAGAACCTCTGGTCTATGTTGCTCTCTGGGCTGAAATCAAGTACAATGATGCTACTGCTTGCTTCTTCAAAGCAAAGTCTTGCGTATCTGGACCTTTTTCAGAGATGTACGTCAGTTTATTGTTGACTCCAAACTTGACTCCTTACCTAATACAAGGAGGTATAGGTTTCACATCTCCTGCACCATGCATTGGTGGAGGGGGTGGTGGCTCATGTGGTCTGACCAACACTCGCTCCTCAGCTCTGCTCAGAAGTTCAGTCATCTGACTATAGGGTAATGCAGAAAGGGAGTAGGAGCCATCCATATGATCCACATATGGCTGAGGTCTAAGAAAAAACAAAGGAAATTTTCCACTTAAAAATTGTCTTGCTGATGATCACAGACATATGCATTAGTAGAAATCATTCATTGCTCAGCTCAGCTACTGTATTATACTTCAGTTTGATCTCTGAATTAAATTCCGTCTCTGCACAAGAGATGCCAATCGAACTGTGGTTTTTAATCTTTTTTCTTTTCCCTTTCTGCCCTACTGCAATTCAAATGTTAAACGTTTTTTCATTGGTAAACCATACAATTCCTATAGTACGTGTCTGTTAGTGTTTATTATTCAGACTTTACTGAATTAAACAAATATAACTGTTATTAGAAACAGGTTTACAGTATGAAACAGTCATGTGCCTGTAGTGTTTTGTGATTCACAATCTTTTCATATGCAAACATTATTTTACTACTTTCCTAAATTGTATAGCAATACATCATATATTGTAGTACTTCTAACAGTTTTATAAAACATTTATCAAGGCATTACTGTGTTTGACTGTCTTGTGGACACACAACTTAAAATAGAGTTCAACTGATCTCCTCCCAAACACAATGTTGCAAGCTAATATACTTCAACAAGATAACTTAAAGTGTACTATAATGTAGTAGTAGTAAAATGAAGATAACTCATCCAACAGCTTAAAATACACCTCTACCTCGATATAACGCTGTCCTCGGGAGCCAAAAAATCTTACCGCATTATAGGTGAAACCGCGTTATATCGAACTTGCTTTGATCCGCCAGAGTGTGCAGCCTCGCCCCCCCGGAGCACTGCTTTACCGCGTTATATCCGAATTCGTGTTATATCGGGTTGCATTATATCGGGGTAGAGGTGTACTTCAATCTGCTGTTAAAATCAACCCCTGCTTTTGTCTTAAAGATCTGATCCAACACCAATTAAGAAATGTTTACAGATGTAACTGTTTAATTAAAATGTTGATAAAGATCACAATTTCTCTGAAGTCAGAGGAAAAGTGTTTGCAGAACACTTTCTAACTGCTGGTGGTTCTACTGTAGGTTTCCGGATAGTGCTCATGACTGTAATAATTAAGCACAGTATTAGATAGTCACTGTTGATCCTTGGGGCTCTGAGTTTTCAAGTGGTTCTGCAATCACTTTGCTGTGGAATCGGGCATAGACCTGCATGAGGGGTGTGGCAGGGAGGGTGATATACTCATTATGGGGAGCTAACACAGTGGAATACACCTATGTGTTTTTTTTCCACAGAACAGCTGCACTTTAAGGAGGGTTTCATCATAACCTGAGTTGTAAATTACACTTGAAACCATTTTTGACTTTTCATTCTACATTGTTGTAAGTAGAGTTTTTTACTAGGTCAGAGTTCTCAATAGGCAGGTTCTTTATTTCAGGCACAACATCCTGGATCCTACAGTCTGCAGCAGGCAACAACTATTAATAGGGCTACCAGATAATCTTAAAAATTGTCTTATTTAAAAGGCTGGACAAAAAACAAGCACCCTCCCCCCCCCCCCCCCCCAAAAAACCCTCCTATTTCTTTTTAATTTTCAAGATTAATGTTATTTGAGTGCCATCTCTCTTTCCTAGTACAGTTCCTCAGTTGGTTACATGCTTTTGGTTTTGCACAAACACCGCAGGTATGTTACCTGAAATGCTATTGTCATATACCTGCAGAAGTATATTATGAAAAGAGAATTTAGCATGTTAAGGTTTGCAGAAACTTCAATCAAATTCTAGATTCAATCAAGAGTAAATAAGTTCAGTGATCTCATCCAAGTGGATAATTTGTTCACATCACAAAACCACCACATAATACTGGAGGTTTCTGCTCAAGTAAATCAGAAGACTAGAATAACAGGGGTTGTTGTAAGTCAGGACTGAAATACAGTGACAAATCTGTGTGCAAGCCTGCACCAATGATATTAGACTGATAAATGAGTAACAATGACACACACCTCCACATCCCCCATAACAATGAATTCCAGAGATATAAATTATTCTTTAAAATGACAAGGTAATAATAAACCATTTAAAACACCTGGGTGAAAGAACTTCAAAATTCTCTTTTGGTAGAGGCAATTCTGTTATCACCACTGCATTCTGAGTACTGCACCACATATACAGTCATTTACATCATAAATATATTTAGCCAAGGGTAAGATGAATGTCTCAAAATAAAGGAAGGAAAGAAACAAAAGAACCTTGAGTCAAAATGCGAGGCTGGGCCATTAGCAACTTCAATGTGCTTATGTAAGAGATTAGCGTCATCCTCAGCAAGCTCTGGACCTTGGGCTAACTTCTGCCACTCTCGCCGTCTGTCATGAGGCGCCCTGGGCACTTTTTCCGGTTCATGAGGGCGATCTAGATTCTTCTGCTGTAAGAGTTATGTAAACAAAACCGACAGTCTTTTTAAAGAGGAATGCTTTTAAAATCAGTTACAAAACAGAGAGAGAGAGAGAGATCTTGATTCTAGCGCAAGAAAAAAAAATTATTCAAACCAGAACAGGAAATGAAGGCGTAATAGAGGGAGACACTTCAGTTTATTCGATACTTAGCTAAAGAATAACCGAATTATGGTACTAAATTCATTCAAAATCTAAATCTAATCTGGCTTGAAATATGTCTTAAATGAGATTCTGAATCTGCCTCTCACATTTGCATTCTACACGATACCATATTTATGCTATGAAATATGTAGGATATAAATGGCAAAAAATAAGCATGTAGCAGTGCTTCCCTTCAGTTCTTTATCCTTTCTTTACAATTAAAATGTTCCCTTTCTACCATATTAACTCTAATTTATAGTAAACATTTCTCAAAAAGGTTCCAAGCAACTTTCTCTATAAAACTGTTGGGAATTCATATTTTAAAAGAAGACTCCAGAGACATCCTTGGATTCTTCTTGTATTTCTTGTAAGAGCTTTTTTACTGTTGTGAGGAATTCATAACATTTGGTAAACCTGCTGTTAACTATGGTGAGACAGCATTAAAACCCTGGGCTCTTTTAATGGTGTCTTATTTAAAAGGCAAGGAAAAATTGATTGAATTGAATGACGTTGAGCCAGTTTCAATATGCTTGAAAAGACTCTATTTGTCTATGTAAAGAACTGAACTTTTTAAATTGCAGAACCACTGAAGTATCATATGTGCAAGCAAACATAACCCACAGCTATTTAGCTTGGAACATACCTTCTGCTTTCTCTTTTCCTTTCTCTTGTCCTCGGTGTCCTGCAACATCTTTTCTTTCCATAGATCAAAGAAATATGAAGGATTGGTGTAAAACTTCAAACCTTCTTTTCCGTCATCTCTGAGGTAAATTTATCAAGATAGAACATACTGTTTATTTGGTAGCACATGGGACTAAATGCTGAGGCAATGTAAAGACAGCTTATTCTGGTAGCTGCAGCTATCATTTTTAAACACAATATTCAGGATTTTTGCCTCAAGTACATTATCAAAAAAATTATTACAACACATAAATTTACCTGAAGCATAATAATTAGATTTAAAATTATACTAAAGATCAGTACACATGTTAAAGATAAATAAATAAGCCTCTCTAACATGGATAGCCAGATTGATTTGGAGACTCACAAAAAACAGAACTGAAAGAAGAAAAGATGATGTGAATTTTACAGGGTAAAGTCTACCTCAATGAAGTCACTTTTTCTCCTGTTGTAGTTTGCTAGAGCATTTTAGGGGTCCCTTTTGGCTTATAAGATCTGCAAACAGCTCTATTGAGGCTAGGAATCTATGATAGACTAATTCTCCTGCTTTTTGTATTAAACATTTATGCTGGAAAATCTAGACACCTTGCCTCTGAGGATAACACTGTGGGAGCAATATTTTCTGATCTCTCTCATCCTCTGTATGCTCAGCTTTTATTATTTCAGTTAGTTATTTCCAGTACTAATACTCTCATGTTGGTGCCTCTAAAACCTTCTTCCCCCCCATCATTCCTTGTAGTCAGATCCTTATTTTAGAAATAAGTTTTAATGCTAGTTGTGGGATAACACGTGTCCCGAATAAATGAATCCGCTCGCCCTAAATTGTTTTAAAATGTGACTCTAATTTATCTCCCAAAACAGTAAGTACAAGTTGAGGGACCAGTTTTTCATGTAAATAGGCATTCAACATAATTTTAGGAAAGCAACAAACCCTCAGCTCATTTATTAGTACTAACCACAACAGTGTAATCACCTGGTTTTTTTTTTAAATTAGCTTCTTACTAACTCTCATGTTATATTATTATTATTATTATCATCCAATAAATAGAAACCTGTAATGGACTAAAAATCAATGTCTTTTCCATTTTATTATGTGCTCTTTGGCATCAAATTTGCCTTGAATGTCAATGTCACAGGAAGAGAATAATTTCTTTCCAATTAATTTTGCTGTATCAAGTCTTAGAATGAAATGTGGTTTTGACTGTGCTCTGCCAGAAACCACTGAACATGGCAACAATGCGCAATCCTTTTGGAATGATTTTTTCCCTTTTCTCATAGATGCTATTGTGAAATTGGTCACACCATATAAGATTCAAGTCACAGGATTGTATACACTATACAGTACTCCTTGGCAGAAACAGAATGCATCTTAAAAGGAATTTAGCTTTAACTTTCCTTCTCTTTTTCAGTAGAAACAATGTTTAACAAATATGGAGCTTTAGAATGGCTTTTCTTACCAATGTTAGCTGGGCATAACATTCACAGTAGTATTAACGTTGATGGCCAGATTTGCCATCCTTACTCCACAAGTAGTTTCATTGTTGTGGATGGGACTATTCCAAGATTATGGTACTACTCAACATGAGTAAGGGTGTCAGAATACTGCTATAAGTTACTGGGGGGAATTTTTTTTCCCCCCCTGATTTTTCACACTTACCTGTAAGGGGTGAGTATGTTGAGTGGGGGAGGTTGTTCACAAGTGTCATAAGTCTCCTGCAAAGGAATAGGCAGAGTCTTGCGGTCAAACAGCTGCTGATCTTGAATTGTGGAACTCCGGAAAGCTTTTCTCATTGTAATATCCTGCAATGACACTGAAAGGGGACATCAAAATAAAAAAAGAGTGGCCAACAACACTTGATTTGGTTGCATCTATCTGATTCATTATATTAATGCTGGAAAATCACTGTGAACTTGTAAAGCATTTTATAAGTGGTAAGCATTACTATTAATAATGATTTATTTGTCATATTAGCATCTCGGTTTTACAGTGGAATATAATGTCATATAGCTTTTAGTGATATAGTCAGACAACATGAAAACATGTATTGTATGTTCTGTTGTATTATCAGTGACTTATCACAGGAAACTTTTGCTCGCTTGGATTCAGGTTGGTAACAGAATTCTGTTTTCCCAGACAAGTTGACTTTATCCCTGCTGGACCACCACAGCCACAAAAACATGGTTCTAGATTTCAGAGGTACCTGCTAAAGTTAACCCACTCCATTTCATGATCCTACGGTACAAAAAGCTGGCTCATCTTGACGTGGGGGCTCTTGCCTTTAGCTCTCCTTAACAGGAATAGGGACAAATTTGCACTCCTAGCATATGCAGCACTGCCGCTGAAGTCCCGCTGAAGACACAATTTAGCAAAGCACTAAGCATATTCCATTGAAGTCAATGGGACTTACTTGTAAATAGTTTGCTCTCTTCCATTCCATTCCATGAAACCAGTAAAATGTCTAAACAGATTTCTGAATCAGGATGTGACTTTTCAATTTAACTTAATTGCTTGTAACTACCAACATACTTTTAAAAATCCTATAATGATTGGTAAGCAAGATTCAAATAAAGAGAATGGGCAAGAGCCCCGTGTAACAGTGATAAGCTTAAACACGGATTCATAACTAGCATATATGTTTAATAAATCCTTAGCCAATAATCAAAATTAAGGTCAATGTGACATTTTATATTATTATACAACCTTTATGGTTTAAAGAACATCAGGCAGCCTGTGCTACAAGAATTCTTATTAGGAGCCTCAGAAGGTTAATTGAAAAAAAATGATGGCCACAGATGACATTTGCACTGCAGATTCATGGAATAGTTCAACATCACATCTTTCTCCTTCCCTTATTTCCAAACACTCCTTCCACGGCATCCAGTTGCCTACTTGGCCTTTTCCCCCCTCCTAACTAATGTCACTTTTTCAGATTTGACAAATAAAAGGAGTACAACCTATACCAGCAAGCTATGGTGTTTTTTTCTCTTCAAAATAATTCTATACTGCAATAAGGCAAATTTAATCTAAGTAATAAAAAGTTGATTTTGAACAGAACTTTCAATTCTGTCAATACTTAAAGAAACAGATTTGTGTTTCTCCCCTCATCCCCACTAGAAATTTGGGTTTTTTTTTTCTGGAGGTCCGCGGACTCACGCGGACAGGTGATGGAACAGTTTGGTTCAATGACTCTCAGCACCCCTACTATAAAAATTGTTCCAGTATCCCTGCTCACACATTCAGAAATGTCACTCCAGTCTTTTAAAATAATGATTTAAAAGAGTGCATATGATTAAATTTTAAGGGTTTTCTTCAGTCTGATTTTTGTAGCATATTAGCTAGGGCTGTCAAGAGATTAAAAATTAATCGCGATTAATTGTGCAATTAATCGCACTGTTAATAATAGAATACCATTTCTTTAAATATTTTCTACATTTTCAAATATATTTATTTCGATTACAACACAGAATACAAAGTGTAGAGTGCTCACTTTATATTTATTTTTGATTACAAGTATTTGCACTGTAAAAAAAAATAGAAAATATTTTTCAATTCACCTAATACAAGTACTGTAATGCAACCTCTTTATTATGAAAGTTGAACCTACAAATGTAGAATTACCTACAAAAAACCTGCATTCAAAAATAAAACAATGTAAAATTTTAGACCCTGCAAGTCCACACAGTCCTACTTGTTCAGCCAATCACTCAGACAAACAAGTTTGTTTACATTTGCAGAAGATAATGCTGCGCACTTCTTGTTTACAATGTCACCTGAAAGTGAGAACAGGCATTCTCGTGGCACTGTTGTAGCCGGCGTCGCAAGATGTTTATGTGCCAGCTCTGCTAAAGATTCATATGTCCCTTCATGCTTCAACCATCATTCCAGAAGACATGCGTCCATGCTGATGACAGGTTCTGCTCAATAACAATCCAAAGCAGTGTGGACCGACACATGTTCATTTTCATTATCTGAATCAGATGCCAACAGCAGAAAGTTGACTTTTTTTTTTGGTGGTTCGGGTTCTGTAGTTTCCGCATTGGAGTGTTGCTCTTTTAAGACTTCTGAAAGCAAGCTCCACACCTCGTCCCTCTCAGCTTTTGGAAGGCACTTCAGATTCTTAAACATTGGGTCAAGTGCTGTAGCTATCTTTAAAAATCTCACATTGGTACCTTCTTTGTGTTTTGTCAAATTTGCAGTGAAAGTGTTCTTAAAATGAACAAGGTGTGCTGGGTCATCATCCGAGACTGCTATAACATGAAATATATGGCAGAATGTGGGTGAAACAGAGCAGGGGACATACAATTCTGCCCCAAGGAGTTCAGTCAGAAATTTAATTAATGCTTATTTTTTTTAACGAGCATCATCAGCATGGAAGCATGTCCTCTGGAATGGTGGCTGAAGCATGAAGAGGTATATGAATGTTTAGCATATCTGGCATGTAAATACCTTGCAATGCTGGCTATGAAAGTGCCATGCAAATGCCTGTTCTCACTTTCAGGTGACAGTGTAAATAAGAAGCGGGCAGCATTATCTCCCTTCAATGTAAACAAACTTGTTTGTCTTAGCGATTGGCTGAACAAGAAGTAGGACTGAGTGGACTTGTAGGCTCTGAAGTTTTACACTGTTTTGTTTTTGAGTGCAGTCATTTAACAAAAAGATCTACATTTGTAAGCTGCACTTTCATGACAAAGAGATTGCACTACAGTATTTGTATGAGGTGAATTGAAAAATACAATTTCTTTTGTTTATCATTTCTAGAGTGCAAGTATTTGTAAGCAAAAATAATATACACTTTGATTTCAATTACAACACAGAATACAATATTTATGAAAACGTAGAAAAACATCCAAAATATTTAATACATTTCAACTGGCATTCTATTGTTTAACAGTGCAATTAAAACGGTGATTAATCGCGATTAATTTTTTTGAATTAATGGCTTGAGTTAATGGCTATTAATCAACAGCCCTAGTATTAGCATATAAAAGCCAATCTACTTGAGGCACTGTCTGCTGCCTTACTTCCTTCCCATCGCAGCAATTGAAAACAGTATTACTGGAACAGCTGGTAGTTCCACTGTATAATCACAAGAGAGCAGAAGGCAGGACTTTCTCCACAAAGGGCCTGCAACTTTGGAATGCTCTCCTCGCTTACCAAATCAATTACATTCTTTGCGAGGCTAAAGATGGTTTTTGTTCACTTTGTCTTTTGAGGTTTTATTTATGGTATTTTGCGGGGGCTTCTCCCTTCCACCACCACTCCTGTCTTAGGATCTATTTAGTTATGTGATATTTTATCCCTGTGAAAACCTTGTCTAGTTAGGTGCTCAGAAGCCTTTTCAAGACTTCATGAATAATACAATTACTAACAGAAAATCCCAGCTAGATGGAAGTAAAGCAATTGACAATGGCATCAACAGTAATCTTGAATTCCATGAACAGTGGAGACTTGAGTTTTAGAGAGGATTCCCATTTTTGCAGACACAATTTTGCATTCAACCATGTGCGCATATATCTATCTATCTATCTATCTATCTATATTTTACCTGCCATGAATTGCAAGTAATTTGCTTGCTAAAAACTGCACTTAAACAGAGGCTGGGGCTAACTTGATCTAAAATCAGGTCTTGAATTATTTCATAAAATTAACTGTTCTGCTTTCAAAGTTCTGTTGAAGATATGTACAACTGTCCATGTTCAGTGCTGCACAGTACTCCCTTAAAGTCTTAAATGCCATGCAGGAGTTTAGTTTGAAATACATTCTAATAAAAAAATTAGTAAAAATCTGTTTGAACACGTACCCTCAGACAGTAGTGAAGGGGTTAATTTGGAACATTTTTGGTCAAATAAAACGCATACAAAATGTTTCTTTGCTTTTGATATCTGACCTTCATAAAAATATGTAGCACATCTCCTAAAACATTGCCAAATTGAGACATGCACTGTTCTATATCCTTTCTTTTCTATCAATTGTCTTGTTAAGTCTTAAGAATGAATGACCTTGTCTTCCACCTTTCCAGGCCTAAAATGTCCAAATCATCAGTCTCCCTCTTCTAGATATAGACCTCCCCTCCCCACTTAGTTCAGCAACTACACAAGCCTCACAAAAGGGGAAGATCACTCCCCAGGGCAATTAGTTCACAAAGCTCAACAGATTATTTTTCCTCTAAACTTAAGAAGTTATCTGATCTGAGGGCTATTTATATATTGTGGAATTCAAAACTGCTACTAGCATTTCCTTCTTTAACATTCTTTGATCCTGTCATGAAAAAGCAGCCTTTTGGTTCAAAACATTTGACCACATTATGATGACATCATTAAAGGAAATGGAAGGTCACAAAGCAAAGAATATGTAGAAATAGAATACTGTGAAATAATTAGCCTTTGAAAGTCATAACAAGCCTTGCTACACTGCAAGTACAAATAATCCAATATCCAAAATGTTTCGTGGATACATTTCTCATGAAGCACAAACTCACTGTATATGTGGAAATCCCACTTGTAGTATACAAACAATGAGACCCTATATATGCTGTTTATTCAACATTTAAATGTCTCTCATTTTACATTAAATGTACTTGCTCATTTGAGGATCTGTATTAATGCAATAAGTGCAAGCTTGTCCTTTCCAACTCTATTCCTAGGATTCTGTGAAAAGACCCACTACATCAGCTAATCTTGCTCCCTGCCAATACAGAATTTCCAAGTAATTTAAAATAGCTCATCTTTTTGACAGGCATTACCAACATATTGTATGCGAGGTTCTGAAAGAGAGATCCTTGTCCATTTATCTTTTCAACTCAAGGAAAAA